AGAGTCTAGACAGCTACAGCAAATAAACATGATGTGAATTCAAGATTAGTTTTGGAATTAGGCTGGTATTCAAATTAGATTGCTCTACACTGATTTTGAAGGAAACAGTGATGATAAACTGTTAATGAAAACACTGGAATGTTTCAGATCCTGTGGATTATAGGTTTTATCTCACTCTGCTCTTAATTCACAGCGGATGCTATTTCACTCGTTCCCAGAGGAGTAGCTCCAGTCTGTGCGTTCTGAACAAGGAATAACTAGGGCTAACCCAGCTCTCTCTTCACTGCAGGGTACCAGCTGCTTCCTGCGCTGGGTGCGAAACCTAGATGATGAGCTTCATGCACTGGTAGCTGGTGAGTCCATGGCGAGACGTTTACGTTGCCTCTGTTGGGACCCTGCAACGCTTTCGCTTGTGCGCGTGGTTGGATGTCTGTCCTCTCGTTCCCTTGTGTGATGGAAATAGGACTGTATGCATTGGGGTTGCATTGAAGTCACATCAGTGATTCAAATGGTTTCAGATAAAGAGTTGCAATTAAAATTGTAAGGCAAATTCAGTCAAATGGTGTGTTTTTTTGCGGTCAGCTTCGTTGCATGCACAAATGTAAACCTGTGCTTTATTTTCCTACTGTAAAGATGCACGGTTGAGATATCGAGTCTCCCGTACGTGACAGAACACGCATTCAAAAGGATGAGCTCTGCTGGGTCTGAAGAAGGCCCCTTGCACCAGGACGTTTGGGTGGTGTTGCAGGCCCTTCCCTGCTGTTTGTGCGTCTGTCATGTGCCGGAACCTCAGAGGTCTCTCGTCCTTGTCAGATGAGAGAGGAAATGGGATACTGTGCTCCTTGTTTCAGGGGTTCAAAATTCCCTTCTTGTAAATGACAGAAACCATATTTTGGTGGGTGGCACAGGAACATCGCTGAACTTTGTTGTAGCAGCAGAAAGCGTAGTCTCATGCGGTGCCTGTTGAGCTGACACACGGCAACAGCAGCAGTCAGCCATCAGCTTAACAATACTTCATTTTCTAATTGTTACAGGGTGCCTAGCAGGAATTTCAATGATGTTTTACAAAAGTACCACGATCTCTATGTATCTGGTGTCCAAATTAGTAGAGGTAAGACGTTACCCTCGTAACAGCGTTCTTTATTTCATCTGTTTGTTGAAGGCAGAAAAAGAAGATCATCTTCACAGGCTTTTTGCAGACAATGCCAGTGTAACGCGAGGTTGCGTGGCGGGGGTGTGTTTCAGGAGGTGTGTGCCAAGCGGCAGTGCCCTTCTGTGGTCTCACGTCTTTCTTATTTCTTTTCTGTGACTCATTTTAGAAGTCCTTTGTCCACTGGTCTCCATGTATATTCTCCATGATCTTTTTTAATCTCCTGATAGCCCTTTGCTTTGTAGATTTTGCAGATTTTTTTAAATCTGAAAGTTCCAAGAATGTCTGTTCTGCCAGAAGCATAAATCAGACCTAGTCCTTAATTGCAGATTTATTGCCAAAAGCTACAGCTTGACTTCCTGCCTTTGTTCCCTAATTTTGGCGTTCAGCAATCAAAGATACCTCAGAATAGCTGAGGTTTTATTCTGTGGCTGGAGTTGTTGGTCAGTACACCCCACCTGACTGAATTCCCAGCTTTACAGCGAACTTCACTCTCCTTACCATTTTTCAGGCTAGAGTGTTTTTCTATGAACTTTTTAAAATGAAGAGCCCAGGAAGAAAAATGTTGTAGAGTTGGAGATGTTGATTATATTTGGCTAACCAGCTTTTGATTTCTTACTGTGATTTTTCTGTAAAATCGGGACTCAGTCATGGTTGTTTCCCCAGCAGCACTGCTGGAGTAGGTTGAGAGCGTTCCCTTGTTACGCATCGACCCCGAATCACAGGGCTTTCTCCTGCAGACCTCGAGGGCCTCGTTCCCTGGTGATGTTCGCCCACCTCCATTACCAGAGCAGAATTCATTTTAAACAATATAGAAAGGAGGAACTTGGGCTTTTTGAGCATAAAATTAAACATAAAAAGGGAAGATACACTCTGTTTATTCTTGCTGCTTGCAAACCTAGATCAAGCTCTGAAGGGAGTTCGCATGTTGGCTGTAGAAATGTGGCTCCCCGTTATCCATATTGACTTTTAGAACACCAGCTGAAAAAAACAATATTATCTTGTATTGCTGATGGTTTTCCCTGGACTTTGAGACATTGTGGCTGCAGTAAAAGAAGGAAAGTGCTGTGTGTTCGTTCATTCGTTCGTGCTTTTTTTTTTTTTTTTTTAACTACTTTTATCATCTTACACGAGCCAAGGGTAACTGACCAAAGAGGCGTGGGCTGCTTTGGAAGGTCAGCCTGTGCTCGGGAAAATAAACTTTACATGTTTTCTCAGAAAGAAAAGTATGTGATTTCAAGCTGTTTAAGAACAGTGAATATTCCCTTTGTTGGAATAGTTATTGCATCGTTCTTTTACTTTTCTGAAATGAAGAATTTAACGTAGCAAACTTTTCCTTTTCTATGTTGAAGTTCTGTACTAGCCTTTCAACACCCAGGCAGTTACTAGGTCCTGTTCCATGCATGTATAGCCTCATATGCTGTTGACCTTGGCCAACTTCTAGAAGCTACCTCGATCGATGTCACATTTGTGGACATAAACAAAAATATATGAGTATGGGTTAGTAATATTGATGTGATTTTTTTAAAAGGTAAAATAAGTAAAAATGAAAAAGCTACTTTCTTTTGTTTCATTCAGCATTTTTTTGTTTAATTTTATAGACTATATACTTCAAAGGGATCGAAGCAGGGAAGGTTCCCTATTTTCCTCACGCAGACAGCATCATCTATGCCATTTCCACATCGATATGCTTTCAGGCAGTAAGTATATTGTCTTCTAACAGAATAGGAAGTTCTTTTAGTTGAAGTCAAATGTGGAATGAAACAAGGGGCACAGGGATACAGCGATATAGGAAAGATGGTGTGATGTAGCGATTCCAGCAAGATGCTGTGGATCAGGGCTCCTGCATCCTGCTTTGGAGTGTCACTGCGGGAAGATCATTTCTAGGACTCAAATTTCTCATATGCTATAGCTGAATGCATTCTACAAAGCACTAAATTCTTTGGAAAGAATCTTGAAATGCATTGGCACACAAGATGAACATAAATGTATGGATTTTCATAAGCATATGAAAGGACAGTTTCTCAAGGAGACAAACAATATTTTGTAATATTTTATGTGTTTTTTTTAATCAACTGGGAATTTTTTACTTTCCGCTAATGTAAAATTGCCTATTTGAAAAAAATTGGCAAGGAAACCTGAAGTTTTATGTTCGAAACGAGCTGTAGTTAATCATCTGCATTTCCCAAGTCAATTACATGTCTTCACCCTCAGTCATTCCATCAGCTGCATCAGCTAGAAAACCTCCTTTTCAGTCGTACCCAAATTACTCTACTATTCTACTACATCTACTGCATTTAGATTAGATAGAAAGAAGAAATTCTTCACTCTGAGGGTGATGAGGCCCTGGCCCAGGCTGCTCAGAGAAGCTGTGGCTGCCCCCTCCCTGGCAGTGTTCAAGGCCAGGCTGGATGGGGCTTTGAGCAACCTGGTCTGGTGGAAGATGTCCCTGCCCATGGCAGGGGGGGTGGAACCAGCTGGTCTTTAAGGGCCCTTCCAACCCAAACCCTGCTATGATCTCTTCATTTCTAGACCTTCCGCTGAAACATCCCACTGAATGTTTTTTGGACCTCTTTAACTACATGTATTTTTGTACTCCTCAATAAAGACAATATAAAATGACCCTAAAGCTGTCTTCTGCTGTCTCGTGCTGAACAGAGCAGTTCCACTCCTCCTCCTCATTGCTCCCATATGTTTGGGAATATCTTTCACTCCAGCATCAAAGTGAACTGCTACTTTTGTGCTTGGGATGTGCCTGAAGGTCCGCAGCATTGAGATCTCCAAAACACTATTGGCAAGGACCATGGTATGAGGCTAACAGAAATGAAGTTCACATGAGAAAAGAGGAAAGGGTTTTTCACTACTTAGTAACTAATTGGAAAAGCAATCCAAGACTAGAAATGAATTGCTAGGTTTGGGAGGGAGGACAGAGGGGGAAATTAGCAAAGGGATCTGTGCTGAGGTGTTTATTACTCACTGTATTCATAAGTGACCTGGAGAAGTCATGGAATAAAGAGAAGGCAAGGATTTTGGTTATACAACATTATTTAAGATACATAACATGAAATATAAAGATGACTACGAGAAATGGTAGATCACAAAATGCGGAGTGAGTGGGGAATAAAATAGCAGGTAAGTTTGGCATCCACAAGTGCAAACTCATCTGTGTAGGAATCGTAAGAACTGTTGTTGCTTTCTCTGCAATGAGATCTCCGTTAATTGCCACCACTTTTGAAAAGAGCTTTGGGGGTGGTCGTGTGGAGCACTGAATTCAGCTGTGAGCGGTTTGTCTGCGCATAGCGTGGGACATTGGCAGGTGATCACAGCTGCTTTTGGTCCGTGAATCAGGAGATGATTTTTAAAAATGCTCGTATTTCCATTTGCCTGTATTTCCGTAACTATCCTTCCGCTGGTTTTGGTAACGTAGTGCAGCAGGTGAAGCTTTTGCCCGCCGCTGTCGGTGGGCTGTGACGGAACGCTCTCCTTGCAGGCTGTCATGGAAGTGCAGAACCTGAGACCTTCGTACTGGAAATTTCTTCTACGACTGACAAACGGCAGGTATGTACCCAGGGCTGCGTGGTGGCTTGTCGCGTTCAGCTTTGTGTCGTTTGCTGCCAGCAGCGGAGCCGCAGGAGCACATACGGGCTCATGTCCCCAGTATTGGCTTTGCTTTTGGAGGGGTTTCCAGTCCGCTTGGAGTTCTGTGCTGAGGAAACGACGCTGCTGGGTTTAGTCCAAAGACAGGAACAAAGACTCAAATCTAGTTACGACTATTTAGGAGACAAGTGTTTTACTGGAAGGTTTTTTTTATCTTTAGTTCCCTTGGAAGGGTGGAATGCTTTCGGATTTCAGTGGAATATGAAGAAACCAGTAAACACGAATACAAGCTGAAAAAACCACTTAGTACATCCAGCGACTGACAACACGCTATTACTCCGTGTTTAAAAGCATTACCAGAAAAGTCAGAGTGTTTCCTAGGAACAGTTTGAAGGCTCTTCAGTTTTTTTTGTAGGGCATCTATTTCAGTTGGGAAAGGAATTTTTTTTCTTGGAAAACTAATGAAAATTTTTTGCTGATTATAACCATAGATTTACACTGTAATATCTTATTGGCTATTTTTTCTCCTACTTGCTGCGGGGGGTCTAAAATGCTTACCTTTTAGAGTGAGTTTTTCTGTAACTGATTTATAAAAATACAATTTAGTGAAGTGCATGCTGTTATACTGATGTAGTCTGTGGCAGATCAAGGCATCCGAATCACGATGTAGGTTGGTTTATGAGTGGGATGATGAAAGGTAGGACTTCTTGTGACTGTGGGCTCTCCAGATGATAAAGCCAGAAGAGAAATCAGAGGCCAGTCCCCAGGGCGTGTTGAATCTGCGCTCCGCAGGGCACTCCGAGCTGGGCATGAGGTGAGGGAATGTGTCACTTCTGAAGAAGGGCAATGAGGCTGGTGAGGGGTCTGGAGAAGAAGTCTTATGAGGAGCGGCTGAGGGAGCTGGGGCTGTTTAGTCTGGAGAAGAGGAGGCTGACAGGAGATCTTGTTGCTCTCTACAACTACCTAGAAGGAGATTGTAGTGAGGCAGGTGTTGGTATCTTCTCCCAAGTAACTAGTGATAGGACGAGAGGCAATGGCCTCAGGTTGCATCAGGGGAGGTTTAGATTGGATATTAGGAAAAATGTCTTTACTGAAAGAGTGGTCAGGCATTGGAACGGGCTGCCCAGGGAAGTGGTGGAGTCCCCATCCATGGAGGTGTTCAAGCAACGTGTAAATGTGGTACTTCAGGACATGGTTTAGTAGGCATGATGGCGTTGGGTGGATGTTTGGACTTGATGTCCAAACTTAGAGGTCTTTTCCAACCTTAATGATTCTATGATTCTAACCGTGGTGGGAAGCTTCCAGCAGGATGCCTAGGGGCAGTCGCCGGGCAGCCCCTGAGGCCGTATGGACACGATACAGGGATGATGTCAGAGCAGATGTCCAACTTTGGCCGCATTTTTCCCTCTTGTGCTAATCCTGAGATTGCTTTACTTGAAAGAGAGAAGGAAAAAGAAATTCTGTTCTGCTAATTTATTTTATCTGAAGCAAATCTCTGTAATAGGAATTTTGACACCGTCTCCATAGAGGCAGATTCTTTCGGCGTTTCATAGGTCTTCCACTCAACAAATTTGAAAACTAAAGAGATGGAAATAGATTGTAACACCCACAAAATTGTTACCCAGACTTGGGCAAGCAAGGCCAGAGCTTGCTCTGCTGGGGTGAGAAAGAAGAGTAGTATATTTTGTTTCGACTTTATTGTGAAGTTAAAATTAGAAGCAGACTCTCTCCCCTTTTCCACAAGTTGCATTATATAAAGTATGTCTACACAAAGCACCAGTAATCAGATTTCTCAAAGTATTTTTTAAAAAATCAGTACTTTTTTTTTAATCTTTATTGCCCAAGATGAAAAAATTCGATCTCTGAACAGTGCAGGCTGAAGCTTGTATTTCAAAGATTTGGATAGTCTTTCATGAAGTGAAATAATTTTATAAATAAATGTAAATAGTGTTTTAAAATAATTTTAATAATAAAAATACTTTTAATTATTTAATTTACATTATTTTAATAAGATACACGGTGGTGCCGCCAGAGCTACCGCGGGAGCTGTCTTGAGAACGACAATATAGCTTGTCGTTGGATGTGATCAGCGTTTTGTCCTGAGAAGTTAATTAACTTAACGGTCGTGTATATGGAGGAGGGCTTGGGCTCCACTTCAGTATTATTTCAATGAGAAATGCTTCTTACCAATCAAAAATCCTGACGCTTTGCAGGAGGGTGTGGCTTAGTGATTAAGCCCCTTCCGTACACAGAAGATATTTCTGGATTACTGTAGTTGGTTGACAGTATGGTAGATTCCTGAATGAATAAAACAAATGATTAATATATTTAGGAAGGAGAAGTAAAACATAAATACTCATAATATTTTCAAAAATTTTGTAGTTCAAACCAGTAGAATATTTCTTGGTAAAACTGAAAATAAATTTTAATTTACAAAGGAAGACAAATGGCATGGTTTAGGTCCAAAATTTTGCCTGATCTTAAATCTGTTGCAGTCGGGTGAAAAAGCCTCCTCGGCTTTCTAAATTGTGCCACGGATTTATCTCAGAAGAGCCACCACCCGCTCATTATTTCAATTTACCTTATTTTTGCACAACTGTGGTTGGAAAAGAAGGCATTCCTTAGGAAAAGAAAATTCGTGTTAGTCGAGAAATCACATTCCAGGGCTGTAAATCCCAGTGACGATGCGGACGGCAGCCGAGGTGGAGAAGGCGGCGGTCCTGGTGACTGCTGCACCGCGGGGAGCGGCGGGGTGTGGTGGTCGGCATCTGCCAAGTGGGAAGCGGCAGCGCCGGCAGAGGAAGGAATGAAGCGTTCCAGCCGCTGAGATGGGGCTGGAAACAGCAGACAGTTACAAAAATAAAAAAGCCAAGGACAAAACAAAACAAAACAAATCCCCCAAAATATACCGAAATTAAATGTTTGTTTTTAAAGGGCTTGACAGTGTCAAGCTGCAAGGCCAGCCAGCTTTTCCAGCGTCCTTTAAAAGAGAGCTGAGCCCGGAGGTCCGACTCTTACAAGAGAACAGTTCTGATGATCGTATTAAGAGTGTTTTTTCCTTTTTTTTTCCTTTTTTTTGAGAAGAGTGGGTTTCCGCCAGCCCATCAAACAGCCGCGACTGGGACAGGTACATTGAATTTAACGTGGTACTCGGTGTAAATAACGACCTATGCAAATTCCATCTCGTTTTCACCCTGCATATTTCTGCAGGTGGTGGTTTGCATCCTAAAGCGAGACCTTGAGATGCTTATTGCTTTTTTTGCTTTTGTTTGTTTTTTTTTTTAGTTTAGAATCCATTCAGGTGATGCTGAATGGTGTTCGTTACCCTAGAACATAATGAGAAGATGAATTATATTCACATTCAGATGAAAAGGGACGAGGTAAGGCAGGGAGTGGAAACTGCAGTAGGCTGCATGTGTTTTAAAAAGAAAGAAGAAGAAGAAATCAGTGTTTTACTGGAAGTCAGATGATATGAATTGGATTAATTAATAGAATCTTTGTCTTGTAACACTGTAATCCTACCCCAGCCTTAAGTATGTTTTAATTCCCAATAGCTTAATTTGTTATTACTGAATAAGCAGTAATTTTTATCAAATTTACAGAAATGTCATGAGTATTGTACCAATCTGTGCACAAAATCTGCTTCTTCATCTGCGACTGTAACAGGGATGCTTTATCACTGTTACTAAAGGTGCTTCACCCTTCAAAACAGCAGTTGTCCAAGTTCCTGTGAATAAAGTTCTGCAAGCTAGTTTGTATGCAATGTTTTATTGCTTGAAATATTATATTAAAATTCCTCAAAAGGAAATAAAAATTAACAAGAACTTTAAACAGATCGTAATAGGTTTGTAATGTTTTTCCACTGGAATATGGTCTAAAATATTTGACCTTGTAAAGTCTGAGAAGTTATATATTTTAGGTAATATGTTAGAACTCACGCGCTGTATTATGAATACTTTCTAGTGTAGCTCTGTACCATTCTCAGACTTTATAGATGGGTTAATTTTCTTCACTGGAACGACAATTGTGATTGTTTCTCTATTTGAGTTTAAATAAATCCAAGTACTACATCTCAGCAGCTAAACAACAGCTTTGTCTATGTTTTCTTGCTTCCAAAATTCACAGTCCTTATTTCGAGTTATTTTCACATAATATAAAAAAAAATTAAAAATTTTTAAATTATTTTTATTCAAATCAAGTATATGTAAGAGAACAAAAATAAAGTCCTAATTTTTTTCCAAATAATAAACAATTGCTGCTTGAAAAAGTGACTTTTTGTCTATGGTGTTGTTAATAAGCCATCTGGAGTCGTCAGTGAAGTGAAAATTGGTGGTGAAAGAACGCCAGGAATGTGACTGAGCATTTCAATTGTATATATTTGTTACAAAATAAAGTCCTAAACGCAGTGTGAGTGAAGAGGTGATGCCAAAGCAGTTCAGCCGACAACGGGTACTTGTACAATACAGGTTGACATTATCGGATGTTTCTTTTTCAAGTGGAGAAATCTGCGTAACCCGTTCCGAAGGAGGTGGAAAGCTGCGCGCCCACGGGTCTGCCCGCCGCGTGGCCGAGCGGTCGGGCCTCATGTGATGGGAACCTCAGCCCTTCCCACCGCCTGATGTGGCACGGCTGTTTATGTTTTTTGGTCATATGATGGGCACTGGTCCGATCATGTCGGACTTCCTGCCAAAGAAGCTGTTTTTTCAAAGAGGGATAGAGGGGGAGGCTTGCTCAGGAGACGGTGGGAAGCAGTGGGTTGACCTGAAATGCCCCGGTTCCTCAGTAGAGGTTTGGGGTGTCCCTGGGGAGTCTGCGTGGGAGGAAGGTGCTGGGCTTCCCACAGGTAGCTCAGGGGGGGTGAGCCGAGAGCAGCTGCCCCGCACGTGGCTCCCAGGAGAAAATACGCCTGCAGTAGGGAATTTTTTCACCTTTCCTTGAGCTTGGTTCCTTTCCTTGAGGTTGGTTGTCTGCAGGCCCCACGTGGGGAGTCAATCACCATCCCTACCGCACCGCCCTTACTGTGCATCTCGCTCCCGCCGCGGCTGTGTGTCCCGTCTGGCACCCGGACCCCCGTGTTCCCCGCCTCAGATCCCAGCCTTTCGCCCCAGGTCCTCACCCACCTTAGTTCTCCTTCGCCTTCACCCAGCCCCATGTCAGCTGTCTCCTGTCCTCCCTGCTGTCCTACCAGCTGTGTTTACAGCCCTTGGGTTGCTCCTCGTGCTGCTCCTCTGGAAACGCTCCCTCACCGGGTATCCAGTGCTGCTCCTGCCCAGGGAGCAGTTGGGTGGGGGGGTCCCCTGGGCACCCTGGCTTTTGCTGCCAT